TTTATTTATTTATTTTTTGAGATAGGATCTCGCTATGCAAATCAGGCTGGCCTTGAGCTCACTATGTAGTCCAGACTGGCCACAAACTCATGACAATCTTCCTGCCTCAGTCCCCTGGTGCTGGAATTACAGGTGTGCACCACCACACCCAGCAACTGTTCTCATTCTAATCCTTTTTGCAGACTGGAAAAACTAATATTCAACCAGACTCACGCCTGTAATCGTAGCTACTCAGAAGACTGAGGCAGGAGGATTGCAAAATCAAGGCCAATCTGGGCAACTTAGCAAGTCCAAGTCTCAAAATAAATAAGAAAGGACTGGGGTATAGCTCACTATTACAGTACTTGCGTAGCATCCATGAGCCCCTGAATTCAACCTCCAGTGGGGGTGGGGGGCAGTCTTCCTTAAATTTTAATTTTGTGTTCATGATCTGTCATCATCTTCTTATTTTCTCTTACTTTAAAGCTGTTTATACCTTAATATCCAGGCTTTCCACAACCTTGTCTAATGGTACTCATCCAACTTTATATGTAAAGAGCTTATCTTTTGACCTAACATACCTTTTCCTCCTCATCCATATAGGTGAACATATCCTGCCTTTCTCCATACCTCAATGTACATTACTTCTCTCTCTCTCTTTTTTTTGGTACCAGGAATCAAACTCACAGCCTTGCACTTGCCAGGCAGGCGCTGTGTCATTGAGCTACATCCCCAACTCTACATTACTTCTCTTAGCCTCCAAATATTCTTTTCTCTCTACCATCTAAAGCCATTCAACTCCCATTTCTTGAAATCTTTCCTAACAACCCTGTCATTAATGTGCCTTTATTTAATTTCTGTAACAATTTTATTCTCCATTGCACATAGCACTTATTTTATACACTGTGATGTTGTCTATTTGTATTAGTTTTATTTCCTCAACTAAAAAGCATTCTCTTAATTTCTTTGGACAAGACCCATGTATTATATTTGGGCTATTCTCCTGTCTCTCCCTGGGATATACAGCCAAGTGTATGCGCATAAAACCAAAACATATACTGTATAAAGTATTCAATAAACACTGATTTTTTTTTTTAGGAATCATCAGAGCAGGCTTGGGGTTTTCTTATGTACTTTCAAACTGTTTGTTGAGGAACCGGAGCCCATTGAGGTTAGAGGCCATCTGGAAGGTGAGGAACTAGGTTTAGCACAGGATAGCCTTTAAAATAAATACCAGAAATGAGCCTGAGTAGCAGAGTATGGGGGAACTTGTATGAACCTGAGATCACTGGTCCAGACATCTTTCTGCTGGGCAGGAGATATAGCTCAGTAGTAGACAATTTGCCTAGTATGCTAGCATACCCAAGGCTCTGAGTTTAATCCACAGCAGCAAAAAAAGAAAAAAGAAAGAAGAAATCCTTCTACCCTCTCCCTGCCCTTAGCTGCCCCTCCTGTTCCACCTGAGTTGTGATGTAGTGTGTGCCCTTTCTGAAGCACTCCAAGCATAAAGGATGATACACTTCTACTACTCCAGAATGGAATAGTGGCTTTATCGTTAGCCAACCAAAGCTGCCTAAGAACCTTTTAAAACTATTTTGGGAGGTAGTGGTAACTTTTCTAAACATTCTGATTCAGAAGAGGTTTTGTTTAAGTTAAAAAAAAAAATTATGTTGTTTGCATGGAAAATCCCACTGGACTGTTTTATCATGCAAGAAGGACTGATTTTGACTGCAGTTCTCACTTCTTAAAATATAATTTAGGGCTGGGCATATAGTTCAGTGGTAGTGTATTTGCCTAGGGTTCAATCTCTGGCAAGGGCTGGGGCCTGGGTTTGATCCACAGATTTGATCTTCAGCACTTCAAATATATATTAAAAATGATCTACAATATATTAACTATTATATATTAATTATATATTACATGATTTAAGTAGTATTCTATCAGCCTAGTTGTTTGGGGTAGGAAATGAATCTCTGTAATAATTAAGAAAGAAAAATCAGGGGGTGGCAATTTAGCTCAGCGGCACCATGCCTGCCTCACAAGTGCAAGGTCCTGAGTTTGAACCCCAGTACCAAGAAAAAGAAAGGAAAATCATCATAATAGGGCACCAGCCATGGTGGCATACATCTCTGATCCCAGCACTCTGGAAGTAGAGGCAGGTGGATTACCTCAGATTTGAGGCCAGCCTGGGCTACATAGTGAGTTCAAGGCCAGCCTGAACTACATAGCAAGACACTGTCTCAAAAAACAACAACAAAAAAAGAGAGAATCAAGGAACAAGATTCAAGTGTAGAAAGGCAGAGTGGAGGGAGAAGCTCAAATTTTAAATTCACATTACTTGAAAAGTTCCCATGGATTACCAAGACTCTTTGTCTCCCTAAGCGCAGAGAGAGGCACTATGTTAAGGTAAAAGGTTTGCACAACCCCTGTGGGGATATTTTGGTCAGCAAGTCTAAATCCAAATACCCTCGTTTCCGGAATTTGCTCTGGGCCCAGGTCTCTGTGAATTGAGTCCTATTGTTTGCAGTTTCCTTTTCTAGCTCCTGGTATTGCTGTCATGTTCCCTAGCCCCTATATTTGCCTAGAATGCCTTCAGACAGTAATAGACCTATACCTCCATGACCACTAGAAATCAGGCACCGGAGATCGAACTCAGGACCTTGGGCTTTCGAGGCAGGCACTGGAACCACTGAGCTAAATCCCAGGCCCTGGGCACCATTTCTTATGGTAGCTTTAGCATATCTAACTCAACCATCTGGTTCTCAGTTTCTTTTTTTTTTTTTTTTTTTAATTTTGTTTGTTGAGACAGGGTCTCACTATGTAGTTCAGGCTGGCCTTGAACTCACAGCAGTCCTCCTGCCTTGGCTTCCCGAGTGCTGGGATTACAGTCTTGTGCCCCTACACCCAGCTTGGTCCTCAGTTTCTTCTCTTCATCAGATATTGACATCCATGTGCTTATTCCTACTCACTTCAGACCTAGCAGGGAGTAAGTTTAAAAAGAAAACATTGCTTAACTGTATACTACTTATAGAACTTATATAGTACTTATAGAAAACCCCAGCATAGGTGGTTTTCTTTTGTTTTGTTTGGGGACAGGGGCTGGTGAGTGCTGAGAGAAAGGTAGGTAACGGAGAGTCACACAACAAAACACTGTCCTGTCTTCCCCCTGCCAGCCTCAGGCAACACAGCACAGACACCCTCTGGTGGCCTAGCAACCAGCCTCCATCTGCTATAGCTCCTTAAAAGCAAATTTGTCCTAACACAGACCCCCTGTTTCCTTATAAAAATGCATTTTCTATGTACTCTCAAGTTTTAATTTCAGATCAAAACTAAAACAGAATTTTCTTGTCTTTTCATGTCTGCAGATCAAACTCCTACTCCGACTAGATTCCTCAAGAACTGTGAGGAGGTGGGGCTCTTCAATGAACTAGCGAGCTCCTTTGAGCATGAATTCAAGAAGGCTGCAGATGAAGATGAGAAAAAGGCAAGAAGTGGAACTTTTTTGTTTTTGAAGCAAAACCTTTAATTTTGATATACATTTTAGATACACATAATGATAACATTCATCACAGGGAATTTGTACCTATACATGGTATGTCTTGCTTCATTTTTTCCCATCCCCCTTGACCTCTCTTCCCCTCATTTACAAAAGCTTTGTTTCCATTTTTTCCTTCTATTCTCTTTTTTTCCTTGTCCCTTCTTTCCTTTCTCCCTCTGCCCTTCCTTGCTCCCCTTCTCATTTGAACATTTTCTTCCCATTTTCCAATATCTATTATACATTTTGGTCCTTATTTCCACTTGCAGTTTCTCACACTAGAGAAACAATGTGGTATTAATCACGTGTGTCTGATTTATCACAAGAAGTGGGACTTTTGCCATAAAAACCCCACATTGGTGGTACTTCAGACCTACATAATTTTTATTGTTTCTTGGGATAATTTAATTGTTTAAAACATAAAAATTGTGGCAGTGGTTCCATGGAGCCAGATAATACTAATCTTAGTCAAATATCTAGTTCTTTAGGGGACCTGGATGATGGATCAGCACAGTTCTGTCTTCACCAAAAATCAATCCTCCTGCTCTCCAATGTAGTATTATGTCAATAATCTGTTTCTGAAAAATGAGTTGGGCATTGTGGTGCATATCTGTAATCCCAGCTACTTGGGAGGCTGAGGCAGGAGGATCACAGGTTCAAGCCCAGCCTGGGGAATTTAGCAAGACTCTATCTCAAAAATAAAAACAAGGGCCGGGGATTTAGCTCAGTGGTTCCGGCGCCTGCCTCGAAAGCGCAAGGTCCCAAGTTCGATCCCCGGTACCAAAAAAATAAAAATAAATAAATAAAATAAAAACAGACAGTTCATTGGAAAACCTTGGGTTCAACCCCCTGTACCCCCCCCAATAAAAAAAAGGTTTAACCCTTTCCTACACTTTAGCTTGATTGACATCTCTGGAAGGCTAGTTCATAGCTGATGAGGCCTTTTCTCTATGGGTATCCCTTGGTGTTTCTTCCTGCCTGCCTAGGAGTGGTCTTTACCTCCTCTTAATGAGAAGCACAGACACAGTGCAATACTGTCTCCGGGAGTATTTAATGAGCCTGGAACTTTACTGAACCACAGCTTTTCTTTTTTTGCGTTTTGAGACAGGGTCTCATTGTATAGTTTATGGTGGCTTTGAACTCACTGTGTAGCCCAGGCTGGCCTCGGAATTCACATCAATCCTCCTGCCTCAGCCTCCTGAATGCTGGAATTATAGGCATGGCTCACTACACTGAACCACAGCTTTTCTAGATGGCCCTTGGAGATTTTAAATTTCTGGTTATATTTATAGAACCCTTTCCTTCCCACCTATCTCTGACTTTAGAGATTGCAAAATTAGCTAAATTGGGCCTAACATCTTAGCAATATTGAAAAAAATGAGGCAGAAATGAAACCATGTTTGCCATTGCCCTGCCTTATTAGCTTGCAGAAAAAGAACCGTTACTACCTTCTTTAATTGTAGTAGGCACCAGATTATCGTTAGTTTACTCAGCCGGCTACCCAAAAGGCTTCTAGCAAGGAAAGAGGTTGAAACAAACTCCTCTTTCACGAAGATGCCTAAGATATAGGAAGAATAGAACAAAGAATCCACTTTGTCATGAAACCAAACTGCAGTGCCAGCTCTCCTGTTGTGGTGTGGTGTCAGAGCAGTTACCTCAAATGGTTTACTGTTTCCTGAAAAGCCATTCACAGCTACACAGTTCTGTAAGGTGATCCTCCACTGCCAGGAAGATACTCTCTACTTACTGGCTTCTCCAGGCTTGCTCCAAAGACCAAGTTCTAATTTCTTCACCGATCAGATAATCAGCCTTTTCTTTCTCTGTTACCCCAAAACCCTATCTGTTTGAAACATCTACTCCTCAGCCCCAGATTTTAGGGTGAGATAATCATCAACCATGGTGAGTTCCCCAGAAAAGACCTTCTGTATCTTGTTTGCAGTACTTTAATAGCCAGTTTGTCTTCATTTGCTCTTGATAATTGGGTAATCTAGTCATTCTCTTTGGCAGAGAAAGTACTCAGTTCTGCAAGGTGATCTGCCACTGTAGGCAGCCCCCAGGAGAGCAGGTTGGGATTCAGCAGGCACTTGATTCAGGAATCTTTTTATTCCTGAACAAGATTATAATCAAAATATTTGTATGATATCTTTTTTGTCTGTTTTCAAGTCTTTATAATTAATTATCACCAGTGTTATCTTTATTTTATAGTTAGGGAAACAGAAACTCTTGGAAGAGAAAAGGATTTGGAGAGGGTTATACATAAACCATAGGGCACACATTTCTATGACTGCAGTTCAGTGCTTTGACCGAGGGCTGAATATCTTTTTTTGTTTTTTGGTACCAGGGATTGGACCTTGTGCTTGCAAGGCAGGTGGTGGAACCACTGAGTTAAATCCTTGGCCCAAGGGCTGAATATCTTAAAAGCATGTACCCTCGTCTTGTAACTAGGAAGATATAGGTTCAATCTGAAGGGAATCATGAGCTTAAACTCTGTTCATTCTCTTCCTTACAGGGAGCTGCTGGGCCCCTGGACATGTCTCTGCCTTCCACCCCAGACATTAAGATCAAAGAAGAGGAGCCAGTGGAAGTAGACTCATCTCCACCTGACAGTCCTGCCTCCAGCCCCTGCTCCCCACCACTGAAGGAGAAGGTAAAATTCTCTACAAGGAGTCGTCACAAATGTTAATTGATAGAGTGAGTTTTGATTCATAAATAGTGTAAGACATAGGAGGATTGATTGTATTTACTTGTTTGTTTTGACACAGTGTCTTGCTAAACTGCCTAGGTTGGGCTCAAATGTACAATCCTCTTGCCTCAGCCTCTCAGAGTGCTGGGATTATAAGCATGTTAAAGTTAAACTTTTTCTTTTACCCAGCAGTTCTAATTCTGAGTCCAAATAGAAGAGAAATTAGTGCATATGTGTACCAAAAGAAGTTTGTAAGAATGTTCATAGCAATTGTATTCATAAGAGCCAAAAACTAGAAACATTCCAAATGTCCATCAACCAAAGAATGAACAAATTGTGGGAGTCTGGGAGCATAACTCAGTGATAAAATACCTGCTTATTATGTGCAAGGACCAAGATTCAATCCCACCACGATGGATGGATGGATGCATGTGTATTTCTAAAATGGAATACAATATGACATTAAATAAGAATGAGGCTGGGTGTGGTGGTGTATGCCTATTATCCCAGGACTCTGGGAAGGCTGAGGCAGGAGGATTGCAAGTTTAAGCCCAGCCTGGGCAATTTAGCAAATTAGCAAGACTCTGTCTCAAGAAATAAAAAGGGCCGGGAAGGTACTTTAGTGTAAAGGACCTGGATTCAATCCCAAACAAAAACCAGTGAACTGGACTAGTGATGTAGCTCAGACCTAGAGCATTTGCCTACCATGTGTAAAGCCCTGTGTTAGATCCCCACCACTGCAGAAGGAAAGAGAAGGCGGGGGGGGGGGGGGGTAAACTAATGATTACATAGCAATGTGATTAAATCTTACAAACATATTGAACAATAACAACAAAAAAGGCACAAAGTACATACTATATTATTCCATTTATATTAAGTTCAGGAAGATCAAAAGTATTTGATGGTAGAACCCTGAGCAGTGTGTGTACTAAATTAGGTGTGGTGGCACATGCTGCCACTAGTCCTAGCTACTTGAAATGCCAAGACAGAAAGATCACCTGAGCTCTGGAGTTCAGCAACTTGAGCGACAGCAAAACCCTCTCTCAGGGGAAGAAAAATGAAGGAAGGTCATGGAGCCTGGTGTAGTGGCATATGCCCGTAATCCCAGCACTCTGAAAGGCTGAGACAGGAAGCTGAAAGTTCAAGCCCAGCCTGGGCAATTTAGTAACGTAGTGAGACCCTGTTCCAAAAAATTTTTTAAAAGAGGGCCGGGGATTTAGCTCAGTGGTTTCGCCACCTGCTGCACAAGTGCAAGGACCTGAGTTCGATCCCCAGTACCCAAAAAAAAAAAAAAAAAAAAATTTTTTAAAAGAGAGGGAGGCGGCTGGAGATATATCTCAATGCAGTGGCCCTGGATTCAATCCCTAGTTTTCCTAGTTCTGTGAAAGAGGGGGAGAGGGAGAGAGGGAGAGGGAGGGGGAGCATGGACTGAGAAGGTACACAGGAGAACCTTCTGGAGTGCTGGAAATGGTCTCTATTCTGATTTTACATATGCAAAAAGTCCCTATTGTTGTAATAACTTTTAGATTAATACACTTACAGTTTGCATATTATACTTGAGTTAATAAGTGAAAAAGAAAAATTTATGTAAGTTAGACATTAATTTAGTAAACAGTCTTAGCGGGAAGTAACTCAAAGGGAGTATCTACTAGAGTAATCAGTAGGGTGCTCGCTTCGACAGCACATATACTACAGTAATCAGTAGGTTTCTGACTACTATTGTTTTCATTACTTTTTTGTTTTTGTTTTTGTTTTTTTTGTGGTTTTTTTTGGTAACGGGGATCAAACTCGGGTCCTTGCACTTGTGCAGCAGGCAGTGAAACCAACTGAGCTAAATCCCCAGCCCTGTTTTTATTACTTTTTAAATGAAATATTTTTAGAAATTTATTAAAGTATAGTACATATACAGAAAAGTACATACACAGCTTACTTAATTTTGACAAAGTGAATAGCCTTTTAGACTGAGAACCTAGATTTTAAAAATATCAGAACTTGGGCCGGGGATTTAGCTCAGTGGTTCCAGCACCTGCCTCGGAAGCACAAGGTCCCGAGTTCCATCCCCGGTACCAAAAAAAAAAAAAAAATCAGAACTTCAGAAGCCCCCTTAGATCTCCTTCCAGGGCCTACTGCTCTACCAGTGGTTATTAATTTTAACATCTATTGTGGATAGAACATCTGTATCTCATTTTCCCTCCAAATTTGGCTTGATAACTTGTCAGAACTACCTTTCCATAAACATTACAGCTTTCTCATCAGCAGCCAACTCCCAGAGACGGTCTGGGCTGTCTTTCAGGGCCAGTATGGCCATAGGCAGTTTAAGATGCTGACAAATTAAGAGGAAGAAGCACTTTGTTCATTGCAATTTGATTATTGCTCAAGCTTCCATAGGTCTTTTTTTGGAATATGCTTTATAGGAATATGCTTTATAGGAATATGCTTTATAACTGGGTTGCCTTATAACCAGTATAACTGTCTCTTCCCCTTGGAGGTCTGAGGACACCTGAGCATCAAGTTCAGAGGAAGAGTGTCTAGATCATGAAAAATTACAACAATCCCTCAAATTTAATGATACTGTAGTACATACTTCTCCAAAGATTTCAAATTATTTCCCACTTGTCATCTCATTTATGTAGCCATAATCCCTGAAAGGTAAATGGCTAAGAGATTTGAACTCAGCATTCCTACTGAATACATGGGTGAAGTATGGGCACAGGATCTCGATGGAACCAGGTCATGATTTATATAAGTGACTGTAATGTTTTTTCTAATAAGCTTGCAGTAAGTTTTACTAGCTACTGTATATATTTTCCTATAAATATATATTTTCCTAGCAGCCCTTAAAGTATTGTGATTTGTTGGTCTCTTCTCCTCAGGAGGTTGCCCCAAAGCCTGTTGTGATTTCCACTCCGACACCCACCATCATACGTCCTGGCTCCCTGCCTCTCCACTTAGGCTATGATCCACTTCATCCAACCCTTCCCTCCCCAACCTCTGTCATCACACAGGCTCCACCATCTAACAGGCAAATGGGGTAAGTAAAGAGAGCAGGGAGGAATAGTGAAGTCTGAATTTCTTTCAATTTTGTGAAATTATTTGATAAAATAAGAACTGTTTTTTTGAATACCCAAGGAGAATGAGTTAACTAAGATTGTTCCTCAAAATAAATATTTAAAAAATAATAATACATAAATAAATATTTAGAGCTAGGGATGTAAATCAATGATAGAACACTTGCCTAAGGGCCTGGGATTTAGTTCAGTGGCACCACGCCTACCTAACAAGCTCAAGGTCCTGAGTTCAATTCCCGTACTTTAAAAAAAAAAAGAACACTTGCCTAGCATGTGTGAGGCCCTGCGTTTGATCTGTACCACCACAAATAAATAAGTAAATAATTCCCCATAAACAGAATCTCCTTTACCTTTTTTAGTAGTTAAGCACATGCTTATTTGGGGATAATACATCTGTAATTTGGAGGTTTAATACTTCTTTAATCTAAAAAAGAAGAATCCAGGGCCGGGGATTTATCTTAGTGGTTTCACCACCTGCTGCGCAAGCACAAGGACCCAAGTTTGATCCCCAGTACCAAAAAATAAAAATAAAAAAATAAAAAAGAAGAATCTTTAAAACGTTTGGAAGTTCATCACAATGGTGGAGGTCACACAAGGAAGTGTATTTAGTTCTCAGCTTCCTTCCTTTGGAGAGAATGAAAGGCTAAACCCCTTAACTCAATCTTCTTTGTTTTTTGTTTGTTTTGTTTTTTTTGGGTACCAGGGATCAAACTCAGGTCCTTGAGCTTGTGTAGCAGGCGGCGAAACCACTGAGCTAAATCCCTGGCCCAACTCAATCTTCTTTGAATCTAGTGTTCCCCTCAGTCCCAAGTCAGGGTTCTTGGTCTTTGCTACCCCTAATTTTGTTTAAATTTCTTTCTTTCTCCTTTCTTTCTTTCTCTCTCTCTTTCTTTCTTTCTTTCTTTCCTCCCTCCCTCCCTTCCTTTCTTTCTTTCACAGTGCTAGGATCAAACTCAGGACAGATCAAACAAAAGCAGGCACAGTGCCACTGAGTAAATCCCTGGCCCCCTAATTTTGTTTATATATCTGTCTTTCCTCCTAGCATGATCCATACAAGTTTTCTGATGGGATGGCTTGAGATCCCAGGTACCCACAGGTTAAGAGGTTGTTATCAGGATTGAGCTTCTTAAAGCTTATTATTCTCTGGACCCACTAGGAAAATAAAAAAGAAACTTCTCTCTTGAACAGAAAAGCAAACTGTGGAAAAGAATAAGAGAAACTTATTTAGATTTGACCATTTTATGACATAATTCATCTTTGCAAAATGACAACTTTGTCTAGCTTCCCCTTGCCTAAGGCAAGATAAAACTTATACAGGCCAGTGGTAGGGAAGTTTAGTTAATTATTCTAAACCCTTAAGAAAATTACCCTTCTACTTGCTTAATTGGCAAGGTATAGAATTTTCCATGCTGGAAGTATAGCTCAGTGGTATAGTATCCTCCAGGCCCTGGGTTCAGACCCCAATACCACACACACACAAATAAAGAAGATTCATTTTGCCATTTCTTTCCATCTGTAAGTTAAGTACCATTCCTTGCTTTTCCCGTTTAAAGAGGGTGTCAAGACCTTACAATGCTGCTGTATGCCTTCCCTAACCAGAAAAGACTGGAAAATCTGTTCTAATTATAGGAGGAAGAGCCATAGGCAAAAGATCTGTATTTCACTTCATGTCTCCTGTAGGTCTCCCACTGGCTCCCTCCCTCTCGTCATGCATCTTGCTAATGGACAGACCATGCCTATGCTGCCAGGGCCTCCGGTACAGATGCCTTCTGTTATATCGGTGAGCTCTGTAGTTGGGGCAGCCAATCCTACCAACACACTAATTCCTCCTTTCCACCTGAATGGTCATAATCACAGAGGGACCCCAGGGAAATGTGGGCTCTGGTCTATATTAGTTGAGTATGGCAGCCTGCCCAAACTCTTCACTAATCTCTGGCAATCCAGCACTGTGGAACACTAGACAAAGACTCATCTGGACAATTGGCTCCTGGCCTAGGAATTGATCTTGCCAGCCTGGTGATTGGTTGATTTCACTTGGCAGATAGCATCCCTCAAATTGCCACCACTTTCCTCAAGATGTAACTGTACCCTTTCGCTGAGCAATTTACCTAGCACTGAAGGATTAGATTCCCTATCCTGTGGTGCTCCATGGGAAAAGTATTTCCCAAGCTGTCCCTGCAGCCCTTTGGGAAGGTTGTACAGAACAGGCCTAACATGCCAGTGCTTCTGAGACAATAGTATTGTATCTCCTGGGTTTCTGTCTTTCTCTTAATCCAGCTGGCCAGACCTGTGTCCATGGTACCCAACATTCCTGGTATCCCTGGCCCACCAGTGAACAGCAGTGGTTCAATTTCTCCCTCTGGCCACCCCGTGCCATCAGAAGCCAAGATGGTGAGTATATCTCAGCTTGGGGTAATGTTGGCCCTTCTGAAAGAAGTGATATCAGCCTAGGTTTTTTTTTTTTCTTTTTTGGTACTGGATATTGGACTTGGGACCTTGCACTTGCAAAGCAGGCAGCAGAACCACTGAGCTAAATCCCTGGCCCTCAGCCTAGATTTTTCAAGTGAGCTGAGCAAAGGAACCTTCTGGGGCTTGCAAAACTAAGGACACCCTGCTGTGGGATCTGGAAAAAAAAAGAGACCCTGATTCATGACTCTCATCTCCTCTCCCCACCTTAAGAGCCTGGTACATAGACCATGGCAGTGAAAAGAGGAAGCACAGATTGTTTGGAATGGAATACTTCCCATTTTCATTCCAGGGTGACAGATGGAGGGTGGGTGAGTGGGCAGGGGAGCTAGACAAGAGGTGAATAGCTACATAACCAGCATCTGGCCAGGCTCCAGGAGAGAGCTTTCATCTGGCCTCTTTTACTTCAACAACCCCTAGGCACCAACTGTGCCCAGGCTGATAGCCAGGGAACAGAGTAGGCATTTTAGGGGTCCAGGTGCATCTCACTGTCATTTTCTTTTAATTCCTCTGTTAAGGGAAAACTGGAATGTAAATTTTAACATTCTGTATGGTCAGTAATAGAATCTAAATCCATCCCTCTCATCCTTGATAGAATATGACCTTTGACAAGATAGTTTTTCTTACTCTTTCCCTGCAGAGACTGAAAGCTTCCCTCTCCCACCAAGTCTCCTCAATCAATGGTGGTTGTGGAATGGTGGTGGGCACTGCCAGCACTATGGTAACAGCCCGTCCAGAGCAAAGCCAGATCCTCATCCAACACCCTGATGCTCCATCTCCTGCCCAGCCACAGGTCAGTATGGCCCTTGGATGGGAGGAACCAGCTGTGATACTCTTATCCTTTATGTCCTGTCTCTTTTACAGGGGTCACAAAATTAGAGAAGAATGGATTTCAGCTTTCTGGGTATCTTCCTGCTACTTTGGTTCTTGTGACAGTTTGACTACAGCAAAACACATCCTTTTTTGGGGGGAGGGGGGTACCAGGGATCGAACTCAGGACCTTTTGCTTGCAAGGCAGGCAGCAGAACCACTGAGCTAAAATCCCCAGCCCCAAAACATCATTCTTCACCCATGTGTTAGATGCACACGCACATAGAGCTGTTGCAGAGGATACCTCTGATTTTGTTTCTTGGGTTTTTTTCAATATATGAATGCTAATGTGTTTGCATTTCAGAATCCTCTGAAATATAACAGGTCACATCAAGTCACACTGTGGATTAAGCAAAGAAGGTTCCCTTAGTTCCATCTATTAAGTCTTAGGAAAAAAATAATGACTTACCTGACGATTTTATTTAAAAAAACAAAACACCATGCCGTGGATTTAGCTAAGTGGCACTGCGCCTGCCTTGCAAGCACAAGGTCCTGAGTTCCATCCCCAGTACCAAAAAAAAAAAAACAAACCCCTCAATAACAATATACTAATACAATGTGATGTTACAGTATTAAGATGGCTCAGTAAGCCAATGGGGGTGGTACATGCCTGTAATCCTAGCACTGGGAGGCTGAGACAGGAGGGTCACAAGTTCAAGCCTAGTCTCAAAATAAAAAAAAAAGCAGGGAATACATCTCAGTGCAAAGGCCCTGGCTTCAACCCCCAGTATCCCCTCCCCCCAAAAAAGGTGCAAGTAAAAGAATAAGAAAACACAAAAAGTCTTCTCATTACCAAGTAAGTCACTTTAGCACAGAGAAGTAAAAACCTTCAAAAAGCCAGAGGAGGCCTGATTCTCTTCTCAAGGAGATCTCAATTTTAACAAGATTCTTTGGGAAACTGAGTAGTCATCAGTTTTCATAATAGTCTGCACTGGACAGGTGACAATGACCCGAGATTGGTTTCTGGAGTCACATTCTTTGCCCAGTCTCTCTTTTCCCCATGTCACCACCTGCTTCATCAGTTACCACCACATGTACAGACATTTCATGGCCATATGCTGCCTTAAAGCTTGGCCAACAATACAAGCTTTCATTTGAGTTTTCTTTTGTATTCCCCACCCCAAAGCCAGGCGGTCCAAGAGATGGTAAAGCAGTAGCCTCCTCCCTGAACTACACTGCTTTCCTGGGGAAAAAACATGGCTTCCTTTTTTTTTTTTTTTAAATGAAAACTCTTTATAGTAAAGATTCCCATCCCGACAAATGATGACATACCTTCCCCTTGAGCTGGGTGGGGTGGTCCATGCCTGGGATCCTAGCTATTCAGGAGACTAAACAGGATCACAAGTTTGAGACCAGCCTGGGCAATTTAGTGGGACCTGTTTCAAAATAAAAAAGGGCTGGAGACATAGTTCAGTGCAAAAGCCCTGTATTCATTTCCCAGTTAAAAAAATGAACAAAAAATCAAACCTCCTATACAAACTACAACAGTCCTCATTAGGGCCCAGGGATTTAGCTCCGTGGTTCTGCTACCTGCCTCACAAGTACAAGGTTCCAAGTTCAATTCCCAGTACCAAAAAAAAAAGTCCTCATTAAATTTTTTTTAAATATATACTTTATGGGCCAGGGATTGAGCTCACTGGTGCCATGCCTGTCTTGCAAGCACAAGGTGCTGAGTTTGATCTCTGGTACCAAAAGAAATGCACTTTTTAATACTATCTAGGTAATAACATTTCCTTTTCTGCATCTCCAGGTGAGCTGGCCACCCTTGTGAGTAGAGATGTGATGTTTTACTTGTTGCCTTTTTGGGGTTTTTTGTTTGTCTGGGGTTTTTTGGTATATTTTTTGGTATGGGGGATCGAACTCTGGTCCTTGTGCTTACGCAGCAGGCGGCGAAACCACTGAGCTAAATCCCAGGCACTTGTTGACTTTTTGGATTGTGTCAATTGGAAGAAAACACATTGTGTTACATTTTGCAGCCACCCTAGGTTGCTAAAGTATATTCTGTAGTAATTCTTTCAAAGAGGATACATGAAAAATAAACTTTCTAAATTCACCAATATAAAAAAAAGTTGAGGCCGGGGATTTAGCTCAGTGGTTCCACTGCCTGCCCTGCAAGCGCAAGGACCTGGATTTGATCCCCAGTACCACAAAAAAAAAAAAAAAAATCATAAAATCTAGTAAACTGGTTCTTGAAAAAAAAAAAAAGTTGAGCCAGGGATTTAGCTCAGTGGTTTTGCCACCTGCTGCGCAAGCGCAAGGACCCAAGTTCGATCCCTGGTACCTAAAATAAATAAAATTAAATTTAAAAGTCTTTATTTTTCCCTCAAAATCAAATGTCAGTTTGGCTGGATACTAGATTTGAGGCTGGAAGCCCTTCTCCTGCAGGGCTCCTATTCTACTGCCCCACTGACTTCTAGCATCCATCATGCTGTGGAAGAAGTCTGCCATCAGCCAGATTCTTGTTCTTCTGTAGGTGATTTCTTTTTTCTTGAGAAGCCTTTAGGATTTTCTCTTTCTCACTGGGACTCCAGAATGTCACCAAGATGTATTTAGGAGTAAATCTTCTCTTGTCAGCTATGCTGGGGATTCAGTAAGCTCTGACAACCTCAAGACTCTGTTCCTTCCTTAGCTCTGAAGTTTTCTTCAGTTATTTCTTTAATTATCTCTTCTGTTCCATTCTCTTCAGTGTCTTTTTCTGGAACTTCTATCAAATGGATGGTGAAGCTTCTGCATCTATCCTCTCTTAACTTTTAGTTTTTCTTTATTTATTAGCTGCTTGGACGTTTGCATTATTTCCTTAGATACTTCTTCCATTTGGTTGTCTAGATTACTCATTCCTTCCTCATGTATACCTACCCTGCTATGTAGATCATCTACTGAATGTTTAATTTCCGAGACTTCTGGATGGTATTTCCTTATAGTCTCCTCTTGTATCTCTCTGAAAATGCTGATCACTCTTCTGAAGTTTTCTTCTGTTTCTTGGATAAACTCTTCTTCTTTGGATGTCAGCTCTTCTATTTGCAGGGTCTGTGTCTCTCTTTCTGTTTTTCCTAAAAACTTAGTGACTCCTGAAGGAGCACTCAGATTTTCACATGAACACTTTTCATGATCATCAGAACTTCTCTCTGTTGATTTTGAGAGAAAGGTCAAATAAGATTGGACAGCGTATCTCAATTCCTTGACCTCTGGAACCAGCTGTTTCCTCTTCTTCCTCAGTTTTGTGTACTTCCTGGGGTTTCACTAACTTTTCCTTCTTCCTAACTGAATAACTACAGGCAATTTCCTCACACAACACTGAGGCCTCTTCTCCCACTATGCTTGGATTTCCTTCTCCCTCCTGCTGCTGCTCCTCCTCTTTTTCCATTTCTGAGTTTTCTTCTTCCTCCTCCATCCCTAAGCTTTCTTTTCCCTTTTCCTCTATCTCTTCCTCCTCCATCCCTGAGTTTTCTTTCTCCTCCTTTTCCTCCTCCTCATCCCTTCAGGTTTCTTCTTCCCCCTGCTCCTTCTAAATCCCAGAGTTTTCTTCTCCCTCCCAGGCCATGAGGCCTCCTACTCCTCCATCTTGGGGCTTTCTTTCCTGTCCATTCTGAAGACCCTGAGCTCCTCCCCTTAGACTTAGCAACCTTAGCTCAAGACATCACTTTCTGGGCCTCCAGCTTCACATTTTAAGGCTTCTGGAGGTTTATCCCCTTTTCTTTGCACCCTATATTCTCTTCCTCCTTGATGGGAGTTTTCATTCTGTGGGAGAAATCTTTCAGCAAATATTTCATAAAAGCCTTTTGGCTGGTAGAGGTTCTGCAGGTCTGAAAATGTCTTTATTTCATCATCACATTTAAATGCTAATTCGACCTTGTATAGAAATTTAGAGTCAGGCTGAGCATGGTGGTATACTTCTGTAATCCCCGCACTTGGGAGGCTGAGGCAGAAGGATCGCTGCAAGTTTGAGGCCAGGCTGGGCTCCATAGTGAGTTCAAGGCCAGTCTGAGCTACATGGCAAGACCCTGGGGAGAGAGAGAGAGAGAGAGAGAAAGAAATTTAGGGTTAAAACCATTTTCCCCAAAAGTGCTAAAGATGCAATCCCATTGCTTGCTGACTTCCATTGTTGTTGACAAGTCTGCAGCCAGAGTTAGGAATGCCCCTTCATCTGTCAGTGGTTTTTCTTCTTTATTCTTCCAAGTTCTCAAGATTTTTTCTTTTCCCCATTTCTTTTACTGGCTCATGCTCTCCAATTCTCTCTGTCCTCTCTTTCTGGAACCTCTACCTGGACATTGCATTGTCTCTACTTCTCACCATTACTGCACAAGGCTCCTCCCATATTATTTTTTTACTTTATGATTCTGAGGTAATTTCTTACCCCAGGCCCCATTGTGATTTTTAGCTTTGTCTACTTTGCTACTCAGTTCATCTAGTTTTCTTTTAAAGGTCAGTCTTTCAGTATCCTCATGTATTTTGAGTTCTCTTCTATTTTCTCCACCAACTCTGTTTTTGGTAAAGCTACTTCTTTTACTTCCTGCTACTCCTTCCTATTAAATTTTTCACTTCAGATATTTTGATTTTTGCTTCTAAAATTACCCTTATATTATCTGTAAGGGTCTTCATCATCTCTTCAAACATGAGGTCCTGCTTTTCCTTCAAGAACTCAAACTTACAATGAGACCCTGTCTCAAAACACTAAAAAAAAATTAAATAAATAAATAAAAATTTAATTTTAAGCCAAGGTCTCACTAAGTTATTACATATTACATTGCCCAGGCTGGGCTTGAACTTCTGATCCTCTTGCCTCAGCAAGAGAACTGGGTATAGAGGCCTGCACCACCATGCCCAGCTATATTATGGGGGCGGTTTTTTGGTACCAGGGATTGAACTTGGGTTCTTGTGCTTGCAGGGCAGGCGGTGGAACCACTGAGCTAAATCCCCAGCCCAATATTATGTTTTCTAGTTGGTTATTCATGATGTAAAAGCTTATTTTTTTGTAGGATAACTTTGTATGCAGAAAACTTGCTGGTCTTATTGATTCTAATTGTTTGTCTCTAGATTCTCTTATTTTTTTCAATATAGGTGAGAATTTCTTTTGCAAGTAATAATATCTTTATCTAACATGATCTGTCACTTTCAATACAACTTATTTTTTGTCCTTACTTGATATAAAGCAGAAGGAATATAAAACTGTAAAGAAATGGAGACATTATAGATTCTTCTTATGCGATCTGTTACATACCCTCTCTACTATAGCCTGGAAGAATCCAGGATTCCAACACTCAGGAGGCTGAGGCAGAAGGATTACCATGAGTTCAAGGGCAGCCTGGGCTACATAGTGAGTTCAAGGCCAGCTTGAACTTCTTTTTGTTTTTTGTTTTTTGTTTTTGGTACTGGGGATCGAACTCAGGTCCTTGCGCTTGAGCAGCAGGCAGCGAAACCACTGAGCTAAATCCCCGGCCCCAGCTTAAACTTCATAGTGAGATCCTGTTTCCAAAAAAAAGGAAAGAATCCAGGAGATATTTTTTTGACTAAAGCGCTGAGAAACATCTTTATGAAATGAGTACCAATTTTTATATTGGTACATTTTAGATGTATATAGTAACATTCAGCATAGGGAATTTGTACCTGAATATGATATATCTTGCTTCTTCTTTTCTTTCCATTCACCTCCCTTCCCTTCAACCCCTCTTCCTCTTCTACCAGTTTTTAAAAGTAGAGCTACTGTTACTGTTCTTGGTCAATAAAAACCTTTTGTGGATACTCTAAGGTAAAATAAATAAATAAATAAAAACTCAAACTTGTTCCTGTCACCTGCTGATGAGTCATGTACTCAGAATCTTTGTACTTTGAATCTGGAGCCACTGCCTCTTCAGGCTTCATGGATGCTTTCCTTTCCCTCCAGGAGACTTTTTCCTGTTCCTTTGCCCATCTCACCAGCTTGGGTCGGACCCTGGATGTTGTAGCTGTGTTTTCAAAACTGGTTTTCTCTTCTTAAAGAGTAAATTTGTTCTTGCACACTGGGTAGACTCCAGAAATTCAAAATTTTAAAAGTCATTCACTCTGTTTCAGCTGGGGTAAGCCACCCTTGGCAGCAGGACACATCCACCCTGCAGGTGGCCCAGCACCAGGACTGCTGCACATGAGGCCTTCTGGTTAAATGAAGGAACAAGGAGCCAGTGACTTCCTTTCTAGTCATCACTGATTCCTTTTCTTCCACTCTACCCTTCTTTCTCTTGGCCTGTTCACTCATCTTCTCCTGCATGAGTTCCTGAGGTGCCTATGAGATAACAGGAACTTATTCCCTTTTCATTTTCCTTTTACAAGTGCTCTGTAAAATTAAAAAATAAAAAGGTGAAATTCTCAGATGAATTTTTGTAAATTTCTTTTTATTTTTTCCAGTTTTTGTTGTTGTTGTTCTTGGGTTTGTTTTATTTTGTTTTGGTTTCTGAGACAGGGTCTCGCTACTAGTATGTATTCTAGCCTGGCCTTGAACTCACTATGTATCCCAGGCTAGCCTCAAACTCACAGCCATCCTCCTGCCTTAGCCTCCTGAGTGCTAGGATTACAGGCATGTGCCACCACACCCTGCATGAATGTTTGTAAATTTCTTTTAAAAAGGGTCTTCCCTTAGTACAGTGTTCCCAGGTCACTAGTTCATTAAAGGAGTTTAAAATTTCCTCTCCATTTTTTCTTTCAAGAAAGGTAATGTTAGCCTAAATAAATAAAATCATCTCGATTAATGGAGAATATAATTCAGTGGAGTCTGGAGTGGAGTTCAAAAATCTAGTTTTTAAAACCTCATGCTAGGGGCTGGGGATTTAGCTCAGTGATTTCGCTGCCTGCTGTGCAAGCACAAGGACCCGATTTTGATCCCCGGTACCCCCCCCAAAAAAAAAACCCCTCGTGCTCATTGATAGGAGCCCTGGCATTAGGCAAATACTAGTGTAGATATTCCATACCAGCCACACAGATCTGAGAAGTTACTTTTGGCATTGTTTTACAACATATAGTTTCTTTTGTACAGATGCCTGGCCTTTACTTTTTCTTCCCAGTATGGGGATTGAATCCAGGGTCTTCACTACATCCCCAGCACCAGTACCTCTTTATTTTTTATTTTGAGACAGGGTCTCACTAAGTTGCCCAGTCTGGGCTTGAATTTGTGATCCTCCTGCCTTATCCTACCCGAGTGCTGGAATTACAGGTGTATGCCACCACACTCACCTACATTTTGCTTAATTTTGGCCACTATTAGAAAATCAGTCTGCCCTCTCTATGCATACCAGCTAAATGAAATAAAGGGAAGATGATTCAGAAGGGCAGTTGTGGCAAAAGACTTCAGGCTGAAGTTTAAAAACAAAAGACAAATATCATTAGTTTGTGGAAAAGGAGTAAATTTTTCTCTATTTACAAATAAGGGAGGGGCTTGCCACAGATAATTAATTGTCAATAAAAAGAATGTACTAATCCATATCTCTCCATAATATTGCATATCTCTGTAAAAAGAACAAATATATTTTCTCCTTTTCTGAAACCAGTTAGAGCATGCAATGTTTGTACTTATCGCTTATCCAAATCAATGGTTCTCGGACTTTTTTGTGTCTCCCTAAATGTTCCTCTGACACTCCCCTAATTCGAGTTCGCTGCCTACAAGATTCCCTGCTGTTGAACATAAAATGATCTGTGCCAACGCCTGCCTCAAAAGCACAAGGTCCTGAGTTCGATATCCGGTACCAAAAAACGCCCCCAAAAACCCCATAAAATGATCCTACTTTCATTTTCCGTCTGCTTTAGAAATAATCAGGTTCCAACTGAACTACAGTTTTTAGGAATTATACTTCAAAGACTAGAGAAATGGGCAGCAGAATGAGGAACTACTTACTACAAAAATGAAGCTAAGGGACATAGTGATGAGATTTGTGTGGTTACCATCCACTTAATAATGGTAGGTTTGATTTGGAAACCATTGATGTTCCCATCAAATAACTCCTCTTCCTTTCTGGGCCACAGGTCTCTCCAGCCCAGCCCACCCCCAGTACTGGGGGACGCCGGCGGCGCACAGTGGATGAAGATCCAGATGAGCGTCGGCAACGCTTTCTGGAGCGGAACCGCGCTGCAGCCTCCCGGTGCCGCCAAAAGCGGAAATTGTGGGTGTCTTCACTAGAGAAAAAAGCAGAGGAACTCACTTCCCAGAACATTCAGCTGAGTGTGAGTGGGTCCTGGAGGATAATTGGGATTGTCGAATCTGGAAAGTGGGATTGATTCAGAAAAAAATGGGACAATATAATTAAAGATGATAATTCTTTAGTTAGGACACGTTGAGAAGTTGTGCCAGGAAGAATGCGGAATCTCTAAACAGTTGAGATCTCTTCCCTAGTAATTGGCAGATTCCATCTACTACAAAATCTGCTATTAGGCCCAGTTGGGTGAAGGGAATTAGAAAAGTAAATCATCAGTAGAAACTGAGTGTGGTGGCACACACCTGTGATCTCAGCACTCAGAAGACTGAGACACGAAGATTGCTGCAAGATCAAGCCCTGCCTGAATTACATAGCATGACCCTGTACCAAAAAATAAAAAAGTTTCTGCTGAGACCTAGCCATGGTTATGGAAGATCTACCTCATTTTTTAACAGTCATATATTAGTCCATTTTATAGTGTGGTTGTATTGTAGGGTATTACATTGATATTGTTCTATTTTTACTAGAACAATAATGTTGCAGTGAACATTGCATGCACTCAGGTAAATAGTTCTGCTAAACAGATGCCTAAACCGGGTGTGCTGGCAAACACCAGTAGTCCCAGCACTCAGGAAGCTGAGGCAGAGGATTGCAAGTCAAGGTCAGCCCGTGACACGTAGTGAGTTCAAGGCTAGCCTAGACCATGTACCCAGACCTGTCTCACAAATGAACAAATAAAATACATTAGACTCCTGGATGTAAGTTTATAATCACATTTGCCTGTGGAAGAGTGATCTTACTATTACAAGTCCCTCTTCACAATAGGCAGTTCCTGTCATTGAATTAATGACTGTATTGGCCCCAGGCTATCTGAATTCTGGCTGGATCTGAAGTCCGAGTCCAGTTTGAGGAGGAAAATCTAGGCAGCACTCTGCCCTCATACAGAGTTCAAGAGTGGAAGCTAAATTTTCTCCATACTCTTTTCTTCCCTCCCCCCTCAGAATGAAGTGACATTACTACGCAACGAGGTGGCTCAGTTGAAACAGCTACTGTTAGCTCATAAAGACTGCCCAGTCACTGCCCTACAGAAAAAGACTAAAGGCTATTTAGGTGAGTAGCTCACAACCTATGCAAAATCAGTCAGTCAGTAAATTGCATGTTCTGGGTCTCAACTGTTTATAACTCTGTATTGAATGTGCTGAGAATGCTCAGACTGATGAGTGAGCAGCCTTGTGGAGCAACCAGTCCTACCCACCCCAAAGAAGTTTTGACAACAATATAGTTACCCTAATTATGTACATTTAGTTGGGGGGTGAAGGTTAGTGATATTTACTGAGTGCCTGTTTTGTTTAGGGAGTCTACTATCTTCCCAGTTCTCTCATGAAATAGATGTTACCTCCATTTATGTGTGAGAAAACTGTACTCAGATCACTTACTGGAAATTACACAGCTGGTAAAGTGGTGGGGCCAAGATTTACCAGGCATTTCTTATTCCAAAGACATTCCCTTGGTCAGGAGAAGAAATACACAGCAAGGGCCGGGGATTTAGCTCAGTGGTTTCGGCGCCTGCTGCACAAGCACAAGGACCCAAGTTCGATCCCCGGTACCAAAAAAAAAAGAAAGAAAGAAATACACAGCAGATGATACATTGGGATTGAAGAACTGGGAACTGAGGGTATATTTTCTTTTTCTAATGATAGGTCAGTATTGGTTTCAGTTTGTAATCTATGAGCAAACACAAAATAGTGCTAAAAAGGGCCAGGGATGTAGCTCAGCGGCACTGCGCATGCCTATCAAGCACAAGGTCCTAAGTTTAATTCCCAGTACCAGAAAGCAAAAAAAAGGGTGCTAGGGCCGGGGATTTAGCTCAGTGGCACCATGCCTGCCTCACAAGTACAAAGCCCTGAGTTCGATCCCTAGTACCAAAAAAAAACATGCTAAAAAAGATGGCCACAGACTTGAACTCCACATAAGCACAGTTCTGAAGTTAATATTGTGAGTAAGCTAGGCCTTGTGGTGCCTTCTGTGCCAACACTCTGGGAGGCTGAGGCAAGAAGATTGAAAGTTTGAGCCCAGCTTGGGCTACCTAGAGGGACCTTATCTCAAAATAAAATATAAAAAAAACTGGAGATTTGGCTCAGTGCAAAGACCATGGGTTCAATCTCAAGTACTGCCCCCCCCAAAAAAATCTACAATGAATAATTTGCTTATGGGTAGTAAATGCTAATAAATGCCAGTTTTCCTTTACAGTTAAATTAACTTCATAGAAATGTTGGCTGTCAGATTTTGTTACATTGAATTATTTTGCCACTAACCATCTTCATCATTTCAGAGATGTGTTCCCATAGAAAAAGAATAACCACATCACCAATTTTAAAAAGTCTCTATTTAAATTTTTATATGTACTTCGGGCATATTCATTCATTAAGCAGATATTGATTGAGTGCCTCTTCTGAAGTCAGGCACTATTTTACATGCTGGGGATATCATAAGGAACCAAATAGATTAGATTAAAACCTTGCCCTTCAGAAGCTTATATTTAGTAGTTGAGACACACAATAAGTACAATAATATGTGGTATATTAGATAATAGTAAATACTAGAAGAAGGAAAAAAAACAGAAGGGGTAATATGAAGTGTTGGCCACAAGATTGAAATTTTAGATGAGCTGGCTTATGAATTGAGACCTGAAGGAAGTTAGAGAGCTAGCCTTGCATTTGTGTGGAAGAAAAGTGCTTCAGGCAGAAGAAGTACAAACACAAATACCCAAGGAGGAGGGAGCCTGCCTAGTACCTTCTAGGAACAGCAGGAAGGCTGGACTGGAGAGCAGCTAGAAATGAAGCGTTTCACATTGGGTCTTGCCAGTTACAGTAACCATATTGGCTTTTACTCTATACTGGGTACCATTAGAGAGTTTTCAGCAGAGGAACAGTATGACTAAGAAAAGGATCACTTTGTTAGAGACAGTAGGAGTGTCTGGGCAGAAGCAGGCAGTCCACCTTCGAGGCCACTGTAATATGTGCAGGAAATGATGGAGTCTTCGCCAGGATGATGGCAGTAATGTGAAGAAAAGGGGGTGAATTCAGGATATATTTGCAGTTTGAGTGGCAGGATTTGATGACAGCCCAGGTAGAGTGGTTTATATGAAAAAAATTGCACCAGAGTTTTTGGCCTGAGCAGCTGCAAGAATGGAGTTGTCATTAATTGTGACACAGGAAGGTCTAGGAGGAAATGCTCTGGGAGGTCTATCAGGGGCTCAGTTTTGGACGAGTGAGGTTAAGAAACATGTTAGGCTTGCAGAGGGAGATGTCAGGCAGTTGGTTATGTTGGTTTGCGGTCAGAGGAGAGGCTAAAGGTAACATTTTGAGAGTCAGTAGCATATAGTCAGTTTTGAAAGCCATGAAACTTGATAGATTCTCTCCCACGGAGAGAATGCCCAGGAAAGAGAAGGACTGGACCCTAAGATACTTCAACATTCAGAGGTCAAAAAGATGAGAAGGAACCCACAAGAAATTGAGAAGAAGAAAAAAGAAATTGAGAAGGTACAACCAGAAAGGCAGGAAACCAGCTGAGCAGCTGAATGTGATGGTCTATAAATCAAGATAAGAAAGCATTATATAAACTCTAGTGATCATCTATTTCAAATCTTGTTGATGAGCTAAGGGAGACAAGGACTGAGTATTTTTCAGTCGTCAGTATGCAGCAAGTTTTTGACTTAGTCTCTGCAAGAAGTCTGACGGGTAGTAAATCCATTAAACTGCTTCTTTGTTACAACAAAGATGTGTGTAGTTCCTGCTGTGTGGTTTCAACATTATGGTAGCTACTTTACACAAGACAAATAAGACACTGTCCCTGCCTGTGAGAGACTCATGGGGCCGTTGTAAACTGAGGTAAAGACAAATATCCAGGTCAGAGCCACTGACTGGGAGCTTCCTGAAGACAAGGTCCCACTTTATTCTCTATACCTGACACACAGATGGTGGCCCATAATATTTGATGAACAAATGAATGTGTCCTCTGAATGCACAAAAGATGAAGCCATTGATTTCCTTGACAGTAACAAAGATAGTTCACAGAGAAAGTAATATTTAATCCTGAAAGATGACTCAGGCATCAAGAGGTCAAAAGTAATCCAGGCATGGTGGCATGTACCTATAATCCCAGCATTTGGGAGGCTGGGGCAGGAGAATCATGAATTCCTCCCTGAGTTCAAGGCTAACCTGGAATACATAGAGTCTGTCTCAAAAAACAAAAGAAAAAATGTTTAAGTAAAAAGAAAAAGTAAGCCAAGCACAGTGACATACACTGGTAATCACAGCACTTAGGAAAGCTGAGGCAAGAGGATCCCAATTTGAGTGCTTCCTGGGCACCTTAGCAAGACCCTGTCCCAAAATATAAAATATGGCCAGGTAGGATGGCATATGCCTGTATTCTCAGCACTCTGGGAGGCTGAGGCAGGAGGTTCACAAGTTCAAGCCCAATCTGAGCAACTTTGTCTCAAAACAAAGCAAAAAATGTTTTTAATGATGAGACATATAGCTCAGTGCAAAGACTCTGGGTACAGCCTCAAGTACTGCAAAATAAAAATAAATAATATAAAGGACTAGGAGTATAGCACATGGTAAAGTACCCCTGGGTCATTACAGCAAAAATAAATAATATAAAAAAGAGGTCAAAAATACAACCACCTATTTCCCTAATTCCACACGTCTCTGCTTAAGCAGCCATAGTGGCTGTCTGATGCTTGATAAAACTCGTTGACCAATGAACATCATGGAGTTCGTGTTCAGTAGTAAAATGTTATCTATACATGCACACCCTTGTTTATAGCAGCACAGCTCATAATAGCTAAATATTTGGAGCAGCCTATACATCACAGATGAATGGATAAAGAAAATGTGATGCACACACACATTGGAGTACTACTTAGCCATAAATAAAGATAAATTTCAGTCATTTGCTGAGTGTGGTGGCACATACCTGTTGTCCCAGCGCTCAGGAGGCTGAGACAGGAGGATCACCTCCAGTTCAAGGCCAGCCTGGGCTACATAGTGAGTTCAATGACAACCTGAACTACTTGGTGAAACCTTGTCTCAAAAACACCAAAAAATAAATAAAAATAAAGATAGGAATAAGAGGAAGAGTGTTCAAAATAGGGTAATGAGGGGCTGAGGATTAGCTCAGTGGTTTTGCCGCCTGCTGCGCAAGCCCAAGGACCCAAGTTCGATCCTGGTACAAAAAAAAAAAAAATAGCGTAATGAACTATGGAGAGACCTAGAAGCCACACAGTATAATTATCATCCTGGAGATTAATAGATTAATTTTAGCCTGATTCTTGTTTCCCTTCCCATTCTGAATCCATTCATAACTTAGAAGCCAGAATTCAGGGGAGTTTTCCCCCCAAAAAGATGTTTCATTTTCCTTTGGAGTCCTTGAATTATCACAAAAGTTAGTCCTGCCTATTTCCCTCTTCTGTTGTCTAACCACATGCTTTCTGCTCTTTGCCCCTCTTCCTGGCAGAGAGCCCCAAGGAAAGCTCAGAGCCAACGGGTTCTCCAGCTCCTGTGATTCAGCATAGCTCAGCAACAGCCCCTAGCAATGGCCTCAGTGTTCGATCTGCAGCTGAAGCTGTGGCCACCTCGGTCCTCACTCAGATGGCCAGCCAAAGGACAGAACTGAGCATGCCCATGCAGCCGCATGTGATCATGACCCCACAGTCCCAGTCTGCGGGCAGATGATGCCTCCCCTGGTGGAGAGGTCCCAGCCAGAGCTCGCCCACCCAAGAGCCAAGAGAGATGTCATCCTATCCCCTCCCATCTGCCTTGGACATGGCAACACGGGGGGCAAAATTGTGTGTTGTGAGTATGGACAGACATGGGGCTTTTCTCTTAGCCACACAGTCATGTATGCTTGATACGTGTACTCGGGGTCTCCAGCTCCAGAGCCACATAGATCATCCCCCAAGGGTGGGGTTGCTGATGTACCACAGCCAAAGGCCTACCCAGATTGTCCGAGCAATCACCCATGCCCCATGCACGTGTATCTGTCTCTTTTAACACTAACCCTTGCACTTCTAGGTTTGGGGTTTCTCAGTTTCTTCTCATAAGCTGTGGCTGTTACCTTCCTGTTCCTTACCAGCATGCCACTTCCTGCTACGCAGAGGAAGGCTCCATTTGATGGCAGATCACCCTCTCTCCTATCCATCCCTACCCCCCCTACCATGGACTCAGGACATTGTCTCCCAGTAGCTACTAATTTATCCCTTTTTCCCCTTTCCAAATTCTACTTAAAACATTCACTTATAGAGAATATAAGGTTACTTTTGATGTATGAAATAGCAGTATTTTTCTAGCTCTTCCATAAGCTCTATTCCTTCTCCCTACGTGCCACTGGGGGGAGAAAAAAAAAAGGCAAAGCAAAAAGAAACAAGGAAAACCCCAAATTCTAGTCCTTTTTCCATCTATTTCCAGAGCTATATGGGTACCTCATTTTGTTTCTTGACTTGACTTTCCCTGGTCTAGTGGTGAGGTTTTTTCCCCATCTCCACTAAGCCTTGGTAACCTCATTTTGTGGCCTTATTGTTAAATATTACTTGGCAGTGAAAAGGGAATTAGGCAGGGATCTGACTAGTGATTCCTTCCCCCTCCGTCCTTCTTTATGTGTAATCATCAGGGCAGACAGGAACAATAAATAGCCTTTTGTTCCATCAGGTTACTGGATTAAAAGATCCTTTTGTTTCATAAGAGTTTAATGGCCAAAGTTAGGCATATTGTCATCTCTGGTCATCTTTGTGCTACTGCCTCTCTCTTCGTCCCTGTCCACATTACTCTTCTGTGGAGATGTGGAGATGCCTCTCTCCATCTACTATAACTAGTTCAGTCAGCCTTCCTAGAGACTGTCACATGGGGTGCTTTCACATTCTTTTGCTATTCCTCCACCTCTCAGCCTCACGTGTCTTTTCTGAGCCATATCCTGTATTCACCAGTGGGCATCACCTCTAGACTACTTTCTCCCTCTTACTAGTTTCCTCGTCTATCTACTAGGTCTTCCTGCCCCTACCCAGTTCCTTCAACTCATTTCTCTTCTCTGCTCCCAAAATGCAATATGTACTTCTCCCTAATTCAAGCTCCAATACTAAAGCATAGTGGCCAAGGTTCTGAGCAGTTTTTCTTGAGTGTAAGACCAGGTGAAAGGAGGGGAGGGAGAGCAAAGGTGCAGTACTAATCTCAACAGGGAAGCCCAAGGCTGGCCTGTTTAGGAAATTGTAGACTGTGGCTCTCAGCCGTTCTTACTTTAGAGTTGGGTTTCAGGGGGAAAAAACTCATTCCCCTTGTTCCTCTTTCTTCCCCATTGGGATGTCTCATCTTCCCTTGGCTCTGACTATGCAGTTTTTACCAGGGCAAAAGGAAGCAATCCAACACCAGAGGCCTGTGGATAGATAAGTCTGCTTTAATAACCCCTCAGTATGAAGCCCTTCCAATTGTCCCAGGGCCACCTGCTGCCATCTGCCAAAGTCAAGAATGTCCTTTTCTCCATCTCTCCTGCCTCCCTCTTAAACATACATACGAAATAATTGCCAGCTTCCTTTCTTATTTTGACTTCCAAAATTGGTTGTCATGGGGGAATGAGAAAATGTTGTAAGCCACAAGATTCCCATCTCCTTAGAATGATGTACTGGAGAGCCAGTCAGGTGATGCGTTCTGCTGCATGTTTTAAATTTCCCCTCCTGCTCTTCAAGAGCTGGTGCTGAACAAGCCATACCTGGTGAAGACAAAGAACAGAAAACATGGTTTTCTTGTCCCCTACCACCAGGGACCCAACAGGAACAGCCCTGAGCTGATCTGACTAGCAAATGGCATGGCAGATGGTCAGGATGCAGTTTGCACCACCAGGGACTTCGCTTGCCTTGAAACAGTCACAGCCAGAACTTGTGCTCAAGACTTCTCCTTCAGATGGTTGCTCCCAGGGATTTTTTTTTCCTGTTTCTGAGTCTTGTTTCATTTCTTATAGTCCTGATTTCCCACTAGCAGCCTTGCCCTCCAGCATGACTAAGTTTATGGCTCCTAAGGAGCCTTCTTCATTAGACCCTTGACTATTTTTCTTCCCCCTTTAGTCAAGTGTTTTTAAAATTAATCAGTTTGTCACCACACATACCCTGCCAGTCTCTTCCTGTGTTGGACGGCTAATCTTTGTAGAGGTATTTTTTAAGTTTCTTAGCCCCCATATGTAATTCTCTTGAGTTTCTAACTGCCTTTTTATCAGAGGGAGGTTAGTATTGGATTTAAATGAGAGCCATCTAGAACCGTAACAATAAAGCAGCACTGAAATGAGGATGGTGCAAGACAACCCCAGGGGGCTCTGTAGGTGGTCTTGGGTCTCACTGAGAAGGCACCACAGTTGCTCACTCTGAAGCCTCACTTTTGATTAAGGAGAACATCACTTACTTTGTTATTGCTGCCAGCCACATGGTCACACTCCTCTGATCTTTGCCTTCCCCACTTAGCTGAACTAGAACCACATATTGTACAGGGTGTCATTTAGTCCTTCTCAAGGACTGTGGCTTTCCTAGGGTTTAAGGGAGGACCCTTTTAGAAAGGAGCTGAGTGTGGCTATCTTGGGACTCTTCCAAAGTGAACACAGGACTCAGGCCCCCACCTCACTACAGGCCAGGGAGAAAGGAGTGAGAAGCCAGGTCTTCTGGTCTGTACACCTATCGCCCCGTTCCCTTAAGAGAAAGCTTTCGTAGACTTGAAAAGGCTGAGAAAGCCTCCCATACAACTAGGGAGGACTAGAAAGACTATAGCTCCTTTACTCATTCTTTCCTGTTGAACACCCCAAATCCAGCTTCCTTCCATCTCTACTACTCTCCTTGGCCTTAAGCACTAGACCATATAGTACAGGGATTTGTTAAAAAGGAGCTGGGCAAACTCAACCTCATCTTGATGCCTGCCTTCCTTATCCCTGTTGTGTGGCTCTCAGCTTCTTTTCTTTTTTTTTCAGCTTCTTTTCTGATTGGCCTCTCTCTCCTTGAGGACCTGCCCTCCAGCGCCACCATCCTGTCCCCAGAGACGGAGTGCTTCTCTGTAGCTGGGAACCACCAGACACCAAAACATTCTTTCTCTGGTCTCTGAGGCTCCCTTGCTCCACAGAGAGGCTCCTTACAGGTGCTAGCCCATAAGATAGCTCTTCCCAGCAAAACATCCCCCTTTCATAACTCTTTCCACCCCATATCATTTCCCATTAATATTATACATTGTATACACAGGAAGTATGTTACTTTTTTTAAAATTTCATAACCAGTCTGTTTAGATTTCAGTCCTCCTACCTGTATCATATATGCCTTTTGTTGATATGTTCTTTCTGCTTTCTTTAGACTTATGTTTGACCCGGGTGGGAGGTGTGGAGGAACAGCACAGGTGAGGATCCCCACACCCCACTACAACTTAAGTCTTCACCCCTCTGTAAGCACAGAACTGAATTGTCTGTATCTGCACAGATGGCTGTGCATAGACATAAATCCCCACCCACCTGCCCACCCCAGGTGGTGACCCAGCAGGCATGAGCATAGGTGACTGCTGGCCAACATTCCCACCCTCTGTACCAGTTCAATTCTTTTTTGGGGTAAAATCCTACCTGAAGATGAGAAAAGCCTGCGGGGGGCAGGTTAAGGCAGCTTATGTCCTTTGTAGATGCAAGTATGCATTGTAACTACTAAGGCTTATTTTATTTTGTAAATGGGGGGTGGGGGCAATACCACAGAGATATCTTACCCGAGCCGCTGGTGACTGGTGTTTTAGCTGTAAGTGGCCGTGACCACTAGTGTCATTGACTTTACCTTAGGGCAGTGGTTCTCAGAAAACGGTCCAGGACCACCAGCAGAGCAGCATCACCTGGACCTTGCTAGAAATGCACATTCTCACCCCATCCCAGACCTCCTGAATCACAAATGCTGGGGGTGGGTTTTAACAAGCACTCCAAGTGCTTCTAATGCACACTAATGTTTGTGAACCACTGCCTTAGGGACAAGCTAGGATCTTACAAGGAGTTGAGGATTCTTTAAATACCATCCGCTGCCTTAGGACTAATATATTTTTCCATTTCTTCCAGTCCCTCCCTTCATATCATTAAGACAACCACCACATCACTCATCTCAGATTCTAGGTTTGTCTTCTTTCGAGTCTTATCTCTAAAACTTGTTCCTGTGTCGGTCTGGACAGTTCTCCATGTTCCCCTGCAGACTGGTCACTCATGTCTTGGTTATATTAAGGACCAGCCGGAGCTTTAGCTGCCCCATTCCACAGACAGAGACGAACACACACACACACACACACGCACACGCACACACACGCACACACGCACACGCACACACACACACACCCTTACAGGCAAGGAGGAGATAAGCCTCCAGCCCATAGTGGAGGCTGCTGCATCCTCATATATTATCTGTGAAGAAAGCAGTGTGTATTTCTGATTATATTTCTGTTCATCTATATATTTTTGACATGTAGCAACACCTCTCCATCTCATCAAGGAACTCTATGTGCCCTGGGTCTCCCCAGGCTCCAGTGGTGGATCCTGACAGGTGGGAGGACACAGTGCTACAGGCTCTTTTGTTACAAGCCCAGCATCCCCCTTGCTGCCCCCCAGCCAGCATGACCCCTGTGAGCAGGCTCTCACAACCTCTCGGGCGGGCTGAGGCAGGGGCTTTCCGCTCTTCCCCCTAACGGCCTTCCTTCCTTCTTCCTTGCCACTTAGCAGTTATCCCCCAGCCATGCCTTCTCCCTCCCTCCCTTGCCAGCCCTGACATATATTGTGCCTTATTTATGCTGCAAATATAACATTAAACTATCGAGAGAACCACTGGTTTGTCTGAAGCTTCACTACGCTGACCCACAGTTCCCATGGCCACTCTTCTGGGGACTCACTGGGCTTTCACATCTGTGAGCTTCCTCACTCTCCCACTCTTAAGGCAGAGGAAACAGGGATTCTTGTCCCTGCTTTTCACAGAGGGAAGTTACAGCCTACAGAAGGTGGATGACTTACATGAATTATACAGCATTAACAGCAGGCACAGTTCCAATCTGTGAACTGCCTTGGGGACCAGCACTCCTCTTGTTGGGAACACATACTAGAGAGCGTAGTATGTGCTGGGGTGAGGGTGGGGCTGCGGGTGGCTGAAGACAAGCGCCTCTTTATCTTTCAGTGTTTTGCCCCCACACCCTCCCAACAATTGGGAAAAAAGAAAAAAACTCTGCGCTCAGGAAGTTTCCAGCACAACTAGGGAGTGCACACATAGAAAGGGAAGCTTTCTGCAGGGAGGAGGAGGTTGTTTTGGAAATGAAAGGCATTTTGTTGACATGCAGGTAAACATTCACAAGAAAACAGGTGAAGCTTAGAGACTGGAAGGATTAGGAGCGGTCTAGGGGAATCACTAACAATTCCTTCTGGCTGTCCCTTTATCAAAGGTAAGATAGGGCTGGGCTGAAGTACTTGACAAAAGAGAGAGCAGGTGCCTCTGAGGTTTCCCATAGGAGACAAATGATGTAAGAAGCTGTGGCTGGTGTTTGGTAGACAACTGTGATAAACAGCCAGAACTTCCTTTAGTTATGGGAATGGCAATGGTGGCCTTCACCGTGTTGTAGTCAGGAGCACACAGAGTCCAGGAAAGGGTGAGAAAGGGAGTTTCTGAAAGTCAAATGCCAAAGCCAAGATGGAGAGGTTTTGGGAGTGAAAGGACAACCCTGAAGGCAGAACAGGGCACTAGGTTAGGGTTAACCTATTCCGACTTCCATCCTAGAAATAAGAAGCCAGCTAGACCAGCCTCTCTCAATGCAGCTTCTGCACCAGACCCCTCGTGACCAGTACTCAGGGAAATTAGGAGGAAAGCAGCAGGGTGCTGGGTACCTGCTTTGTGGGAGATGGAATGCTGAACACTGCATTCAGTCATTTGCTGGTCACAACAGCCTCCTGAAATCAGAAGTTCCTTCATTTTATTGATGGTGAACCTGTTAGTTACATGGTAAAGTGCAAGACAAAAAAAGTTCTTATCCCTCCCAGAGCCAGTTTGAAATATCCTAGCCATCCTCACAACCTGCTTCTCTGGATCAGTGTTAGATAGAACAGACCAGGACCAAGGCATAATGCTGAACCAGCTACCCATGAACTTGATATGCCCTTTTTTTTTTTTTTTGGTACTGGGGATCAAACTCAGGTCCTTGCTCTTGTGCAGCAGGCAGCGAAACCACTGAGCTAAATCCCCAGCCCAATACGCCCTTTTAAGAAATGAACTACAGTAGCTGGGCTTGGTGGCACACACCTGTAATGCCAGCACTCAGGAGGCTGAGGCAGGAGGATCACCAAGAGTTCGAGACCAACCTGGACTGAAATGTATAATGGACATCAGGAAATGGGAAAAAAGTGCTCAAAGGGGAAAGGGAACAAGGAGGGAAGGAGAAAGGGGACAAGAAAAAAAGTGAAACTAGAAGAAAAAAATGGAAACAAAACTTTTGTACATAGGGAAGGAATGGTATAAAATTTAATTTAAAAAAAAAGACCAACCTGGACTACATAGCAAGACCCTGTCTCAAAAAAAAACACAAAAAAACAAAAAAACGCTGGGAGTGATGGCACGTGCCTGTAATCCCAGCACTTGGGAGACTGAGGTAGGAGAACCTCAAGTTTGATGCCAGCTGGGCTACCTAGTTCAAGGCCTGCCTGAACTATTATATAGCAAAACCCTGTCTCAACCCCCATCCCCCCCCCCCCAAAATGAACTACAAGCCTGACATGGTAGTGCATGCTTGTATTCCCAGATCTCTGGAAGGCTGAGACAAGAGGATTACAAATTCAGGCTCAGGCTGGGCAACTTTGTGACTTAGACCCAGTCTCAAAATAAAAAGGGCTGTACTAGGGATTTAGCTCAGTGGTGCCACTGCCTGCTTTGTAAGCACAAGGTCCTGAGTTTGATCCCTGGTACCAAAAAAATAAAATAATAAAATAAAAAGGGGCCGGGGATTTAGCTCAGTGGTTTCACCACCTGCTGCACAAGTGCAAGGACCTGAGTTCGATCCCCGGTACCAAAAATAAAATAAAATAAAAAGGGCTGGGAATGTAGCTCAGTGCAAAGTCCCTTGGTTCAACCCTCAGTACCACCCAAATAAATAAATGACTAGGATGTAGCTCAATGTTAGAGCACTTGCCTAGCATGTGTGACATCCCAGGTTCAATCCTCAGCACTGGCAAAAAATAAAAACCTACTATAATCTACAAATCCCAAGTATAAGTTAGTTCAAGATGTTTTGCTTTAAAAAAAAAGAGGGGGACACGTCCCCTCAGCTAGACTATGGAGTGGAAGAGCGACTATGAAGGGCTTTCACACAAGCTATCCTGTGAGGTCTACTGGAGAAAACTGAGGGCCCTGGCAGAAGCTAGGAAGGCCAAACCCAGCTCAGCACGAGGAGAAAATGACCCAAAGGCAGTATCGGCTGAGGGTGTTTCCCAGGGAAGAGTATAAAGGAAACCTGGTCTCTGCCAGATCCTGTGCTGAGTGGATTACTGAAGGCATGGCAGTGCCTTGATGTTCCCATGTTCTGGGTGAGGAATCAAGCTTAAGAGTAAACGGCTTGCCTGGAGGCTGAGCCAGAGCCCTTCATGGCCTGGCTCCTCCCCAGTGTAGGCTGGCATCTCACACCATGTGGATGCAGGGGAAGGGAGATGCAGGACAGCAGAAAACTGCACCAGCCGACTTGGAAGGATGCTTGCCGAGTAGTGATTCAGATTTTCCTAAGGTAGGATTCTTGTCATCTTCCCCGGTGTATCAGATCTACAGCCAGGCAGAAGATGTGCAAATAGGGAGATGGGACAAAACAACAGTGCAGCCCAAAGTTGTTCTGTTACTGCCCTTAGAGTCAGGGCCTTGGACCCCTGCCTCACCATCCTACCTTCCGTTCCTCCCTTAAAGCCCTATTCTAGAAAAAGGAAATGGTTGGACCCGGCAGTGAGCAGCAGTGGCCACCAGGTGGCAGCAGATCTTCAGCTATAAAGGCCAGCTCCCAATAAGTGTTCAGTGACCGTAGAATCTGTACACACTCTGTGTGTAGGCTCCAAAACCCTTCAGTCTCCTGTGTCTCACTATCCTATCCACAGGCAGATCTCAGAATAGTGATTCAATGTTTAACCTTCCAAGAGCCAGGTGAACAAGGATGGAACAGGCTGTGTGAGTCTCCCAACCCCAGGCAAGGGAGGGACCTAGCTGGGTCACCCTGGCCCTTCCCTCTCCTCCTTGCAATCCAGAGCCTTGCCCTAACACCTAGCCCTCCAGACAGCAGTTTCTCTATGCTTTAGTCTACAGGTTAGGAAAAAGAGGTGATCAACTGAAGCTCTCCAACCTGTTGAGGGATTGAGGTTCTTGTAAGGCCCCGCCAGGCCCTGGCTCTGACAGAGCATCTGCAATTAATGATACTTCTTGAGCTCTGGAGACAAGATTTATTTATCTAATAAAGTCTGTAACTCCAGGCTTAGGGGCTGGGGGTGGGAGGCTGAGAGCAGCAAATCCGGAGAGAGCCATGGGAGGGGGATCCCAGGCGGCTCTTAATGGAGCCATGCATTTCCACTGCCTGTCTAGATTACCCCTCAGGCTGCTGTTAGGGGTGGAGGACAAGGGGACAGCAGGTATAAGAGGCTGGTGTGCCTGTAGGAGGGAGGATGGCAGCATGGATTCCAGGTGGGCAGTGCTGCTGCTACTGTTGCTGCTGTCAATGGACTGGGGCCATGCCGAAGGACCAGGGGGCCAGCACGGAGACCAGGTCTTTGTGGTGAGCGAGCGGCTTGTCCCACATCACCATTTTCTTCTACCCCACGTGGGACTTGGGCTCTAGGTTCGGACACTCCCTGGTTGCCAAGGTCTTCATCGGGTCACATCTGAGGGAGGTGGCGCCTCAGCCTCCAAAACCTACCCTTGGAAGCCACTCCCTTCCCCATGTGACTTGGGTGTCCTGGGCATTTGCCATCTTCCCTCCCCTTCCCTGCTGCCCCTGCCATAGGAGGAAGACATCGGACCCCACCCACCACAGCATGCCCAGACCCCTGGGTACCTCCTGCACTCCCTGCTCCAGGCCATGAAGAGAAATGGCCGGAGCCCAGCCTCCCTGTTTCAGCCCCAGAGGTGAGTGAAAGGGACACACACATGGCAGGAGCTGGGAAGGGCAAGGGACAGAAGAGAAGGAAGGGGGCTTGAGAGGGGAAGACTAGAGGGAGCTGAATCAGGATAAATCTCTCCTCAGGTTTGGCAGAAATACATGGGGGTCCTCGAATAGCAAGCGGCTGAATCCCCAGGCTGGAGAGTTCTGGAGCCTGGCTGCCCCTCAACGCTTTGGAAAGAAGTAACAATGTGATCCCTTGATGTGTTTGCATCCAAGGCCCACACCCTAAAATGCCATGTAAGCCCCTTCCCGACACCCCCAATAAAGATGTCTGCTCCTGAATCCCTGTGTCTGGTTGAGACTTCAAAGGGCTGGGAAGAGAGCCCCAGGGCACAAACCATTGCCCTCTCCACCTCCGCCACACCAGACTCCAGCAATACAGTGACAGGGTTCCCCAGCCGGCTGCCTGCAGCAAAGAGAACACTCAAATCGGAGATGAGAGGGGCACCAAAGAAGATGAGAACACAGGAGTGTTGTGCTGATCTGTGCCGCCCATGCAACTCAGGGCCACACAAAGAACGGGGCTTAAGAAATCACAGAGTGCATGTTTATTCTGGACTCAGTAAGGCCCCCAATTTCCTTCCCACTCATCATCACCCACAGAATGAGGTCAGATCCTGGGCTGACTGAGGCCGTGTGGTCCCTGGCTCCTTGCCTGGTGCCCTCCTCAGCCTCAAGGCAGGTAGTCTGTGTCAGAGGTAGAGATGACACCTCCACAGGGTACCTGAGTGGGCAGATGCGTGGCCCCAGAAACAGAAAGAGCAGGGAGCAAAGGGTGCACATCTGTGAGTCCAGCTGGGGCTCTACTTGCTGCCTGCCATGATCTTGAGGTACTGCAGGGCACGGCGAGCAGCCTCCCCTCGAGCTTCCTCCCTAGTAGTTGCAGAGCCGTGACACACAGTAGCTGGCTGGGTGGAAAGTTCCACTAGGCACTGGCAGAGCCCACTCATGCTCAGCTCCTCTGGAGAGCAGAAAAGAAGAGGGAGGCATTGTTGAGTGGGGAGCCAGCACCAGGCAAGGGTGCATCCACACTGTCATCCCGTGCCGACCCCTTTATACTTGCTCTGGTCCAGCCCCACCATACCCCGGCTCCCCAACTAGCCATACCAATATCCAGGTAGCTGACATGGAAGGCCTGCTCCTCTGAGAGCTCACTGAGCATGCTGCAGCTGGTAGAGCCCAGAGCACCTAGGGAGCCTGGAGAGCAATTTCGAAGGTGCAGAATCTTCTCTCCCTCTGAATTTCGCAGAGAATCCCATGTGCAGCCTGGGCCCCGGCTCCGAAGTCCATCCAGGCGGGAGCCCACACCCTGACAAGAGAGGGAGAGTGAGAAACACACCACCAGGGACTGTGGGACCAAGGCATTTAGACACTCAATGTCCAAGGAGAGAAAAGCCCGAAGGATGCCTCCCCGAACTGGCCTTTCCCAGCCTCCATGCATACCACCCTCCAACTTCAGGGCCTGATCAGGAGGCCAGGCAGCCTCCCTTGTCCCAGTAACAAAGCCTGTGTGTGGGCTCCTGTCCTGGGGCAGCTCCCCCACACCACTCATCAGTTGGCATACAGTTGAGACTATCGAGAATCAAGGACCCATGGAGCCCTAGCTCTGGTAGGAAACAGGCTCAGGACCTAGACGGGCTCCTTCCTAAGTCACAGACCCAATCTCTAGTGCCCCGCCCATACAAGCCACTCACAATGGAGAAGTGATCATCATCAGGCTCTGCCTCATTGCCATCCCGGGCATCCAGAGGCACTGTGTGCACTCGAAGCAGCATCTTAGCTGCCGCATTACGTTTTGCCAGCTTTTTGGAAGTGCCACTACCTGCATGTGAGGAGAGGAATGCTGGATTCTGATTCCCAACAGACTAGTTCTTTCCACCCCTAAGTGATGTTAACTGGATAGGGGAACTCAAGACTTGCCTGTGCACCTGAGAACCTGGGTGGCCAGAAGAGAGGGGGAAAGACAGAGTGCTAAGAAGAAGCCAGAAGATGCTGAGTCAGGGACTACAAAGCAAGGAGAGGTACAGCGTGACAGAGCAAAGCTAAGGACCACCTTGTGCCTTGGGCTGGAGTGCTGCAGAGGAAGGAGATGCAAGAACCCCCTTCTGCCTAGTTACCAATCTCAATGAAACGCTCCACTCTGCAGGTCATGGTGAACTCTTTGCGGTGGGCTGGTCCAGACTCCTGGGTCACCGTGTATTCTGGCAACCGCCAGCCCTTCTGCACCACCAGCTCCTTGGAAAGGAGACACAGGGAAGAAAAGACTCATCATGTCCCTGCTGGCACCTACCGAGGAGGCTGTGACTCTAGATGAGAGGAAGCAGAGAGGGTATAGAAAGGGCCTCAGCACAGGGTTCTCACTCTACACACAAACACACGCTCTGGGCACTGGTCCAAGGGAAGACAAGCACACACGCGCAATGAGGGCACACACCTGCAGAGCACCAACAGGGTTACACTCAGACTGCTGAGGGGAGACAGGGGGCTGCAGCTCCATGGGGGGACACCTAAAGGAAAAAGGGCCCAAGCCAAAGCTGCGGGCAATGGTTCCTTCTGGGGCTGCCCGTGAGCCCCAGTGCTAACCACCACATACTTCCCCATCCCCTCCAATTGGCAGATAGCTGTTTGTCCAAACATCCAGCCTTGTTCCCTCCTGCTTCCTCCCTTTTCCTCTTGGGTGAGGAACTCTCTAGGTTCCAGATGTATTTCTTTTCTTTTTTTTTTTTTTTTTGGTACCAGGGATCAAACTCGGGTCTTTGCGCTTGCGCAGCAGGCAGCAAAACCACTGAGCTAAATCCCCGACCCTTTTCTTTTTTGAGAACGGGGCTCACTATTTTGCCCAGGCTGTCTTGAACTCACAATCCCCCTGCCTCAGCCTCAGTGCTGGAATTACAAGTGTGTACCACCAAGCCCAGCTCCCAGGCACATTTTGATTCTGGAATAGTTGGTGTTATTTCCCCTGGACAGTGGGAGAGGGGCTAATAGCCAGTCCCCAGAAGCATAATAGTCTCAAAAAGGACCATTATGGGGCCTGAAAGACCTTCAAATGGCTGAACATCATCTATATGGCTACTGGTGAATCACAAATTACCTCCTGCCCCAAAAGCTTACCAGCTGCTACAAATTCTTTAAGCGCTGGTCCCCACTATTCCACTCTGTTTACACTCAGGGTTCTTCATGCCTAATCAGCCTGGGTCTAAGAGATGGGGTCAGGAGCCAGAACCCCCTTCACTCTCCTCACAGAAGTCAGGGGACACAGATACCTCGTTAGGACAGCAGATGGAACAGGAGCAGCAACTGCCACAGTGGTAAAAACTGGAGCGTCCTCAAGCAGTGAAGAGTCTGGGGGAGAAAAAGAACTTCCCGAGGGGAAGGGCGCTTTGGATTCACACCCATGTGCAGGGGAAGAGAGGTTGGCGACTCATCCCTCAACTGAGCCACACTCGGGAGGCTCAACAACAGCTCTTCCTCTTAGGATCCTTTGCTACCCACTCTGGCCCAAAAAGACTGAGAAAAGGGGGTCTCAGAGGAGAGTAACCACATGAACTCAAGAAGCATGGGAACAACAAACTCCACCATGAATGTGGAAGAGGGAAAGACATCTTGCTAGAAGGAGGATGCCAGGGAACAACTCAAGTCAGCTTCAGCCTCCACTCCTCCCTCCCTAACCCGTGCCCCTAACTACACCCACAACCCCTCAAAAGGGCTGGCTATTCCCCTGAGAATTCTTCACATCAGAAGCCCTGGAAATACTCGGCTCAAATGCAGGGGAAACTCTCAGGAAGAAGCCAGGTCAGGGTAGCCAAGTGTCACTGGGGCCAGGCCTAGCGGCACAAGGAGGTGGTGCAGGGCCTGAGTTCCTGGAAGGGGTTCTAGCATGTTCCTCCCTCACCTGCTGTCCTCCAGGGCCGGCTCCAGCATGCTCCCCCCTTTGAGGTGTTTGAGGGCCACCTCAGCTGCCTTGTGCTTGGCTGCCTTCTTGCTGGGGCCCTGACCTGAGAGAGGGGTGTGGGCAATACTGGAGGTCACTAGAAGGACAGGAGAGAAACGAGCATCCCACAGCCTCTCTCCTCACAGCCAGAGGAAGTCAACCAACCTCCCTCTGACCCACCTCACCCTGCCCAAAATTACATTAGGTTCCACCCATTGCTAGAAGGAAAGTCTCTTGTCTACTAGCTCCCAGAATTAAGCCACAACAAGCAGTATTTCTAAGTTGAAAAACTTTAGGGGGAGCTTCTTTCTCTGCTTATTCAAAGTGCTCTGCTCTTTACTTTCTTTTTCCTCAATAAACAAGGAGCTGGAACAACTGAGGATAGACTCTGCAGTCAAAGACCTACTCTGCCACCTCCTAGGCACGGGACTGTGCACCAGCCCTTCCATCTCTGATACTCAGTATCCTTCTGTTCAACATGGGACACAGAGCCCAGCCGAGCAAGCACTCATTCCTCCAAGTGTCCATTGAGAATTCAATGTCTCCTTCACTTTTCCTCTGGGATAATGAGAATCTGCCAAATCCCTGTGTAGCTCACTCCTGTAACTCTCTGAAGTCCTACCCACCTCACAGCCCTGTTCTCCCAATCCAATCAGCAGCTTTTCCCCTGACATCTCTCCTTTCCTCTCTGGCCTTAGAGAATTGTGAAAAGAGAGACTCTAAGATCTACAAAGCCATGGGCCCCTGAATGCACACCCCAGACAGACTGCCCAAGCCTTCCTCACCAGTGCAGCTGGTGTCGCCAACGGTGACCCGAAAGGTGAAATTAGGTTGGTGGGCTTGGCCCTCGGCTTTGAGAAGGTCGTACACGGGCGTCTTCCCTATTCTGGTCCCATACTCCTGCAGAAGGCTGATCGGGGTCTTGCCCGGGTTGGCGGCCAGCATTTGCTCTATACTGGGGGAGGGGCACAGACCCACATCACACCTCCCCCCTCTGCACCCACCTGGCCAAGCACACCTGCCACACCAGGTCTTGGCACATTATGGGGGACATAGGGTCTAGGGGGCCTCAGGCAGTAGAGCATCCACTGGCTGGGTTCAAAGTGGGGATGCAGCTGGGAAGGCAGGGTCCTCTACCCCAAGGCAGGTGAGAAATGTTCCTGTCTCAGTTAAGGCGAAGGAATCCTGGCCCCAGTACTGCTTGGAAGGGCATACCCGCTGACACGGTGCAGGCCAGAAACCCAGTACCCACCAAATACACTGAATGTGGGGGCATAAAGCCCAATGCTCCAGTGCAGTCTGGGAACCCGGCCAACCCCAAACTACTTAGAGCTGGAGGCGGTGGCCACTACCCCAGTGCATGCCGGGAACCACTGCCCACTACCCCAGTGCTTGCCGGGAACAACCCTCAGGCCAGGTGCATGCTGGGGCCGCGCCGCTACCCCTCCGCACCGCCCTACGTTCTTCGCCCTGCAGGGATCGGGACGAAGAGCCTCACCTGGGCAGCCCGCAGCCCGTGGTAGTGCCGGAGCCCTGCTCCTCTTCACTCATTCCCTCCTCCGTCCCCGCGGGTGCCACCGTGACTACAGACTCCACGCGCCCCAATACACCGCCGAAGAGCTAGGGCCGGGGCCAAGCCCGGAGTCGCGGCCGGTAGGGCCTGCCGCGGGGCATGCTGGGATATGGAGTCCCCCGCCCACCCAGCTTCATGACTCTCCATCGGGAGGGGAGCTACCCGCCCCATAACCCTCTGCGTGGCTCTTCCTAGCTGCCCCCGCCGCCTTCTGGGAGGAGCGGACACCTCCGCAGATGCTTGCGAGCTGTGGGTGGACGGTACCGCCTCTTTTTGGGACCGTGAGGCTGTGAGCATGCGTACTGGCAGAGTGAAACCGGCTGGGGGCGGGGCGGTAAGGGCTAACAACTCGAGATGTGGCCTTTTGAACCCTAGAAAACTACAGAACCCGGCAGCTTGCGCGTCATCTTTGTCGCAGCTAGAGGAGCAGGTTCTAACAAGCAGGAGGCTTCGCAGTGTTATTGGCTATTCCGATTGCGTCTACCTCCCCTAGACGCTTTGAGATTGGTTACTTCTCCTAGAGGAGCGGGGACAAGGGAAGAGGCAGTCCCGCCCCCCTTGGCCCCCCTCCTTCCTAGGAAGGGTTCTGATTGGCCCAGGAAGCTGCGGGCGGATCCTGGCTCTTTGCGGTCAGCGAGGGTGGCTCTTACCTGGACGCGAGAGGGTGCTGTCCTCTGCCTCAGTCCCGGGAGTGCCGGAGCTGTTGTCGATCCAAGTTCGTGTCAGACAGTTCTCTCTTGACCCCTGTATAAGCCCCTGGCCTTCAGGCCTCTTTGTCCAGAACCCGTTTCCTTTTCCTAGGTTGTCCTTGACCTCCCTTTAACTCTGCAGACAGCCTGTTGGATTTGGCTTCTTTTCTAAAGCCTTTTTAGATCGGTCCTAAAATGAACCTATCTTTAACTGGCCAGGAATCTGGGGCCCAAGAAAAGGGCTGTGGGAGAACAAGATTAGGATTTAGGCACCTGGTATCATGGCTTCTGCTGTGAGTCTTGTCTCTCACCTGAAGAGCAAGAGACTGGTCCACTGGTGCAGAGCCCCATGCCCTCCCCCAAAGTCTCGCAACCATCGGGCTGAAAGATGTAAAGGAAACCTTCTGACCTTGGAGAGAGATCGCGGAAAGTGTCTGATTGCAATGAGTATTTTGAGAATGGGGCGGGGGGGGGGATCCAGAGGAATCTTGGAATAATAATGAGGGGTCATCCAGGAACCCGGGAGGGGGAGGGGGAGGGGGCCTACAGCTAAGTGGATTCCAGTTGGGTAAAATTGGAGTGGTGATAACCAAGGGAAGCAGAGCTGGCAAGATCGGTATGACGGGGAGCAATGCCAGGGCACTGGGGATCCCACCCGAGGGGCTGCTCTCTCTGGGTATAGAAAGAGACTATAAAACGGGTCATAGGCGGCTCCTGTGGAATCAGCATAGGGCTCGAGGTGGAAGCGCCCGTGGGAGACCGTCAGCAAGAAGGCGCGGGGCTGGAGCGGACCAGGGACCAGCCTGGAACGCCGCGGATGGCAGCAGCGGGCTCCTTTAAGAGGCCGGCGGCTCCAGCGCAGCATCCCCCGCTCAGGGCGTGTCCGTCCCGGGAGGCCAGGGGCGGGGGCCTGGGAAGGAGCGGGAGTTCAAGCTGCGCGAGGACTCGGCTAGGGGCCGGGGGTAGGGGCAGAAAGCTGGGGCTGACACCCTTGCGCCTGGACCCCGCGCAAGCATCGCCTGTGACTGCGCCCCTAGTCCGGTCGAGGGCAGCAGGGGGAGGAGGGAAGGAGGAGGAAAAGGAGGAGGAGGAGGCGGGAGCAGCATCCGGAGCGGAGCTGCAGCAGCGCCGCCTTTTGTGCTGCGGCCGCGGAGCCCCTGAGGTGAGAGCCTGGCCGAGTTGTGGGGGTTGGGGGGCAGGGATGGGTCCGGGTCCTGGGGTCTGGGCGTGGAGAGAGGGTGGCGATGCAGATGTGGCGCAGTGGGGGAAGAGGTGGCGCGCGGATGCTGAGGCTGTGGGGATGGAGGAGCTGGGGACCTGGACCCGACGCCTGTGGGGATGGGAAGGAGGGCAACGGAGCCGAGGGCTGCCGCGGCCCAGCACAGAGACGTAGGGCCACCAGAGCTGGGAAGGATGTACAAGGGTGGGGTGACTGGGGGGCCGACTTAAAAGGTTTGCGGGCTAGAGAACACCGTCTTCTCCTCTCACTCATCCTCGAGAGGCAGACAGAAGGGGAGGGAGTTTTGGCTCCCTGAAGGGAAGGGAAGGAAGGGCAAGGTCTGGTGTCACACGTCTCTCCCCTCCCCCACATAACAGAGTAGGCTCCACCTAAAGAGCACAGGCAGCACCTGTTCCTGGGTGCCCTGACGGTGGTCCTCCTCCCCTCCCATCTGTGATGCTCCTAATCCCTCCAGCTGTGGCATTCCACTCCATCCAGCTGTTGCATCCTCCCCTCCCCCATTCGTGTGTGGCTTTCTCCATCCTCTCTCTCCCCTACTCCTCTGGGTCCCTGAACCCATTTCCCCAGGTCAGGCCCTGCACCAACCTCCTCTCTTCCCCCTCACTCCTCAGATTCAGCTTAAAAACGAGCAAAAATCTTTTCTACAGAGTTGAGACTTACTGACAGTCATGACCTCCCCTGGGGTGGGGGGAGAGAAAGGGTCAAGGCTCCTTAGGCAGTGGGACAGAATAGATGCCCTTTGGGAGTAAGGGAGGAATCCCCCCCTCCCCTTAGCTCACAAATCTGCTACCTCTTTGACCCTCAGCCTGGATGGAGTGCCCCTGAAACCTTCACCCCACCCAGAGTCCCTGAAAGCCAGTCAACATCTCCCTGCCTCCCTTTAAACACCCTTTCCCTTCCAACTCGCAGGCCCATCTTTTTGGGAGCTCTGATTTCCAGTCATACCAAGCCAAGGCTAGCAGAAGGGACTCGAGAAGGAAAGGGCCCATTGCCTCTGAGCCTTCCTGTCCAGGTTGCTGAAGGGCCTGCTCCCTCCTGTCTCCCAGGGGAGGGTGAGAAGCCTACCACGAATCTAGGCATTCACACTGTTGCCTGAGGTAGTGCTGGGAAGATCCTCGCTCCAAACACACATGAAAACATGCAAATAAGTGGCCATCCCTTCATTAGACCCAGTTATGGGTGGTGGAGACAAGAAAGTTTAAGGAATTGTTTCAGAATTTCCTAGGTGTCCTTACAACTGAGGATGGCAGAACCCTTCCAAAAACCAATTGCTGGCTGGATGTGGTGGTACATGCCTGTACTCCCAGCTACTTAGGGGGCTTAGGCTGAGGATTGAAAGTTTGAGGCCAGCCTGGGCAACTTCCCAAGACCCTGCCTCGAAAATATAGGTCGGTGGGCCAGGTGTGGTGGCAAATGTCTATAATCCTGGCACTCAGGAAGCTGAGGCAGGAGGATCACCAAGAGTTCAAGGCCAGCCTGGACTACATAGTGAGTTCAAGGCCAGGTTGAACTACATAATGAGAAGCCCTATCTCAAAAAAGGAATTATATATATATGTTAGTGGTAGAGCACTTGTCTAGCATACCCAAGGCCCTAGGTTTTGTTTCGGTTTGGTTTGATTTTTTTTGGTACCAGAGAACAAATTCAGGACCTCACACTTGCCAGGCAGTTGCTGTGCCACTGAGCTAAATCCTTGGCCCTCCAAGGCCCCAGGTTTGATCCCCAGTACTCCAAAGCAAATCAGTTGGAAGGGCCAGGGATTTAGCTCAGTGGTTTCACCGCCTGCTGCGAAAGCGCAAGGACCCGAGTTCGATCCCCGGTACTAAAAAAAAAAAATTAGTTGGTGTTCCCCATCTTTCCCCTGCTGGTGGGACAGTGCTAGAGCCTGGAGTTGCCTAAGTCCTAGTACCATAGCTCTTCTTTGTTTTGTTTTGGTTTTGGTACCGGAGATCGAACTCAGGACCCTGCACTTTCGAGGCAGGCAGTGGAACCACTGAGCCAAATCCCCAGCCCACCATAGCCCTTCTTCTCCCCTGCGTTGAATCTAGGAAGGAAGGTGGACACCAGCTTCTTTGGGAGTCTGTGCTGGGAAAGAAGAGGACCCTGGGGCTTCAGGAGTGGTGGCCTGAAGATGATCTGTCTGATTCTTATGCTCCCAGAAGGCTGGGGATGTGGCTGCATTGGAGAGGCAGCAAGCCTGTTCCAAGGCAGAGAGGGCCTCTCAGTAGACAGCCTTTGGCCTTTTGGCTTCTTTCTCTGCTCCCCTCCTTTCCTTCATTTCCCCATCACCCTTTCCACCCATACCTTCTCTACTGTTGCTTATTTTGAGAAAGAAAGGGGAAAGGGAAGGAAATCACTTTTTTTTTTTAAGTCTGTTACTTCGCGTTAGACATTGTCCATGTGGCTGCTGTTTACAGAGACCTTCCTGTGTGCCAGGTGCTGGGCCAGGAACTTTATTTTGATTACCTCAGTAATGCTCATAACAAGACTAAGTTAGCATTGTCATTCTCTCTACTCTAGGATGTGGAAACTGAAATTTGTTATTTATTCAAAATCAAAGCCTTAGTATGTAGCAAGAGTGAGGATTTGAACTCAGGTTGTGTGACACAGAGCTGTGTTCTTACCCACATTATATCCTGCATACCACTGTGTGATAACCACTGTCCCCATTTGGAGATAAAGAAGCAGGCTTGGTAAGGGGTCTCATATAGGCCCTGTGTAGGGGCTCACACCTGTGATTTCAGCACTCTGGGAGGCCAAAGCACAAGGATTGAAAGTTTGAGCCCAGTATGGGCAACTTAGCAACTTACAAGACCCTGTCTCAAAAAATAAAAATAAAAATGGGCTAGAGATATGGCTCAATGTGAAGGCACTGGGTTCAATACCCAGCACTTAAAAAGAAAGTAAAAATTAAAAGAAGTCTTACAATCCCACCACTTTGAGAGCCTTAGCAGGAGAATCACAATTTTGAGCCCAGCCTGGGCAATTTAACTATTTACGAGAACTTGTCTCCAAAAAAGAAAAGGAAAAAAAAAAAGAAAGAAAGGTCTGAAGATATGAGGATATAGTGCAGGCTGTGGCCCTGGGTTTAATCACTAGTACTGCAAAAAAAAAGAGAGACAGGGAGAAGTCTCATATAGCCAGGCACTGTAGCATATGCCTGTAATCCC